AATTAAAATGTATACTTGACCTGCTGAACAGCTGATGATGTGTTTGAATGTGTATCTATTACTATATTTTCGTTATTGCTTTTCTGACTGGCACTCATTCTCAAAATATAAAAAGAACTTTAGTTCAAATATTATCGCCATTTTTTTTAAAGTAAGCGGTACGGTACAGGTAGGTATTTTTAATTTTCGCAACTACGAACACTGGGCAGTTGACTGCACGAGTTTTTCTTTTGCCTGTTTACATAGTTCATTATTAGTAGGTAGATTTAAAAGTTTACAGAAGTGGACAATAATGGATTTTCTTAATACTTTGCAAGACTTGGCCGGGAAGAAGTCGCGCGGTCTATAAATGACAAACTTTCCGTGTTGTTGTTTTGAAAGTAATGGAAACATTTCCGAGCATGTTTGAGAAAAGAAAATTATTAGAATATTGCCAGCGTGATGAGGACGTTTGAACCAGCTACGATTCAGAACGGTCCTTTTTCATTCTTATAGTTAAATAAAAATAACTAAGTCTAATTGCATTATTGATTTTTATGTGACGAAATCTATTGCTGATTTCTATTTGTGTCTACATGACGAAGCTTACGTTGCGGATTGATGTTTGTAATTAATTTAATTTTTGAATGAATACATTTGAATATATGAACATAATTACAATATGTATAATATATCTTAGTCTATATTTAAATAATATGTAAAAGCTGTGGTTTCGAAACCAGGCTAGCATCTCTGAGTATTTCGAAATTTATGTGCAAATTTAATTGAGCTTTTTGATGAAACCACGTCGAATTTCCCAGCCCTCATTGGGCCAACGACTATAGCCTACAGTGGCCTACACCCTCGCCTGACAGGAGACCCGTGCCCAGAAGTGGTAAGCATAAAATGGTTGATGATAACATTTAAATAAGGAAGTTGATATAACTTGATATACAGAACATCAAACAAATAAATTTGAAATTATAGAATTTGAATAAATTATTGTACCGTACCTCCGAATCGTTGAGTGATAGATATGAATTTAGAAGTTAGGGGGTAACAAATTTCATAATAATTTAACTGTAATGTATATAAAGTCGTCTAGTGGGAAAACGGTCGCTTTTCTATTGAAAGGTTGCGGTTGGGATCTCTGTGGCGGCGTAATTTGTAAGTTGCCTATGTTTGTGAATGCTTAGTTTTCTAACCTACTTTATAATTAGATATGTAAAGTGTGAAAATAGGGGACAACCGAGCAGACAAATACATTTTAAATGATAGTTTCCTATTTTTAACGATAATAAGCGTTAAGAACTCTTTTCAAGGTGTAATCTGATAAAACTTGGAACAATTCACATTTTGCAATACATATTTTTACTTATTTGATTGAATATAATAATAGTAACAAAAGACTATGTTTAACTAGTAAATAATTTTATGGCACTCGTATTACAATCGAGACCAAAAACATTTTTTGCGCCGCCATTTTGTCGTGTCATAGAGGTCGCTCGTGCTTCGTTTCCCAAACTCGAATGTTTTCTTGTCCCCACTGTGCGTTTGTTAAACTATTGTGTGTTGTTGTTACAGGTTTTGTAATAAATAATACAAAATTGTAGACAATGAGAATTTCCTCCTTTTCCGATTCCATTAAAAATAGAAGGTGTAGCACACCTGCATTCATACTTTGACAATGACATTTCACGACATTGTTTTCTTTACATTTTGGACATCTACTTAGAACTAATAAGAAGATTATCTCGGTGGCCCAATTGTTTGCATTGTGGGCGCTGAAAGAGGAAGTCGAAAGATTTCGAATAATCGGGTGTTCTGGGTCACTACCCAGATACATATATGAATCAATACCGGGGCACTCCCTGGAGTTAATTCCATTGTCTGGTTCTCATGGTATAAGGGATTCCCTAGTTTGAGACCAAGTAACTGATGTCTTTATTTATCACATTGTTTTTATAATTGTATTCATATTTATAAAAAGGTACGAGTGTGGTTTGGTAAATATGTGAGTTTAAGGTGAAATAAAAACTTTTTCAGAATTGTTTTTATTTCTTAATATGGAACTCCTTACTAAGTAACGACGACGTAACCACTTGGTAACGGCAAAAGAAAACATCGTGGTGAACCCTGCGTTTCGAAGACGGTACACAAGCTTTGGTAAATGTGTAAAGTTTTCGAGAGAGGCGGACTATGACCGAGGAGGCTAGTGATGATGAGTGTTGGAATTGCTAAAACAGAAATTCAATAAAGTTGAACATTTCATACATTCATAACAAATTTTTAAGGATCGGTTACTGGACAGTGTAAATATAATTCTCTTTTAATTTTTCTAGTACATTTTATTGGACATCACGACACTTTACAACTATGATATTCAAACATTTTTTGTGGAAATAGTCGACTGGTTTATTATTCTTGCTAATATAAATATCGAAATGTTCCCTCATCCGACTTGATACGAGTAGACTCTGTAATATGAGCATTAACGCGTTGGAGTTTTAAAGGATAAAATTGCTGGTGAGGGATATAAGGGGAAAGGAAGGCCAAAGAAAAGATAGATGGATTGTGTGAAAGGTGACATGGATAAGAAAGGTGTGAGTATAAAAATGACGGCTGATAGGGGAGAGTGGAAGAAAAATACATGTTGTGCCGACCCACCTAGCGTGGGATAAGGACAGGAAGAAGAAATTGCTGGTGAAACTACAGGCACATGGATCTTGTCAACTTATGTCTCAGGGTGACGGACACAGTGGGTATGCCCTTTAGATTTTCACGACTTAAAGGTCTGAGCAGCATTGCAATATTATGGGCAGGCGTGTCGCTCACCACAAGACACGTGACTTCTTCGTCCCATGATTTGGTATTATTTACAGCATCGCACAAGTTTATATCACGTATAAAATTCTTTCCAACTCTAGACTCGATTAAAACAATACACAACACTTAAATCCCTAATAATGAGATCGAAACAAAGCGAGATAACATCGTTTAACTATATCAAAGAAAGGTTGTGAGTATCGTAAAACTTTTATTACCCTATTACTGGTTTATAACAAAGAATATCGAGAGGGTACCAAGACGCAATAAAACCGTATACTCTTATTTTGGTGTAAGTCAAAAGAAGTTCAAATTCAAAATATGTTTCTTTCACACCCGACCTAGAAAATAGGAGTTACGAGTTTGAAACCTTTGTCTGCGTATGTCTGGCTGGCTGTGGCATCGTAGCTTCCAATCGAATAGATAGATCTCCAAGCGATCTCGTTCTTCTGGTTGACTTCTTTTGAATCGGTTTTATGGATCGTAATGGATCGTATACCTCTGAATCGACCCACGGAACGGATCGTATACTCCTGAATCGATCTCACAAAAATCGTTTAAAAATTTGAAATAATTAAACACCTTTGTTACATGATTTAATTCATCATCATTACATTAGCCGGAAGACGTCCACAGCTAAACATAGGCCTCCCCCAAAGATTTCCAGATCAGCCGATCGGACGCGACGTGCATCCATCAATTACCCGCTGCCCTTACTAGGTCATCCGTCCATCTAGTAGGGGGCCGTCCCACTGAGAGCCTTCCGGTTCGTGGTCTCCATTGGAGAACCTTTCTGCCCTAACGGCCGTTAGTTCTACGAGATACATGCCCTGCCCACTGCCACTTCAATTTGCTAATCCGTCGAGCTATGTCGGTGACTTTCGTTATTCTACGGATCTCCTCATTTCTGATTCGATCACGTAGAGAAATGCCGAGCATTGCTCGCTCCATCTTCTCCTCTCAAAATTGGCCCTGCCTAATTGGACAGTTTGTCCGAGGCAAACACATTCGTCAACAATTTCTAGAGTGCAGGTTCCCTCTGTTATAGGGGTGGGTACGACATGGACTTTCGACATAAGTTTCGTCTTGTTCATGTTTATTTTTAGACCCAACTGCTGGTATCCTCTATTGAGGTCACCGTGCTCGGGGGCAAGCTCTTCCAGCAATTCTGCTATTACCACGACATCGTCCGTAAATCGAAGGTGAGTGATGTACTCGCCATTGAAGTACCTTGAAGGCATCTTCCAATGGAGTGGTGAACAGTTTCGGAGAAATGATGTCTCCTTGTCGCACCCCTCTTTGCAACAGGATAGGCCTTGTGCACTGGTCCTGGAGTCGAACTGACACCGTGGCGTTTCTGTACAAACACTTCGGTACATCGATAGTCAATGTGGCACCGTTATAGAGACCATAGCACCGCCCAAATCTCGATCAAGAAGCAAAGGCTTTCTCATAGTCTACAAACGCTAAACATAACGGCAGGTTGTACTCCTCGGTCTTCTATATAACCTGCCGCAGCGTGTAGATGTGGTCTATGGTACTGAAGCTCTTTCGGAAACCGGCTTGTTTGGGGTGCTGAAAGTCATCGATTCTGCGCACGAGACGGTTCGTGATAACTCGTGAAAACAGCTTATAAACGAGATGTGTCTGTAACACTTCAATTGGGTGTTATCTCCCTTTTTTAATAAGAGTATCACCACGCATCATAGGTTAAGGTAATCGAGGCATATAGCTAGCTATAAAACCTCTCGATCTCCCCCAGTACCCCTGCTTGAACGTTACAACGCTCCGTCTTCAGCTTTGTAAGCTGACTTTGCTTAATAGACATGTCCCTTGCAAACACTTTGGAGCCCTTATTTCGCTCTATGGTATCTTTAATATTATTTTAACTGCCTCCGTGGCCTAACGGTTACCATGCCGGACTGCCACGCAGAGGTCCCAGGTTCGATTCCCGGGTCGGGAGAAATAGTTGTATGGCCTACAATTATTTCTCTCGTGAGTTTGGATGTAATTTGTGGTTGTCTATGTGTGTGTCCATGGCACCCGCGATACAGGGTTTCCCTAGTGCGGGGCTATGTTGAGTGTCTGCGTTTTTTTTTTATTTGTATCAAAGACCCGTATGTCGTGTCCCATGGACTTCCATTTGTGTCTATTGAGCTATCTGTAGGCATTAGCATTATCGGAGGACTGCAGCGTCATATCGCGTCGATTTGCATTAGCTTGAGAGTATGATCGAAGAGTTTCTGCAGCCAGTCCTTGCGGCAGGTCCTAAAGAATTTTGACCCAACCGTGTGGACAGTCTCCACCAACCTGTTGCTAATCTCGTCCACAGAGACGCAGTCTTGTAGGCAGTCGAAATGATTTTGAAGTTCAAACCGATTTTCGGAGTCATTTATATGGGCACCGCTGGGTCGCAGAGTAGACTTCATCAGTAGTAACCTCACACGTTTGACATCGATATTTAACAAGCCTCTTACCATCCTGTGATCGCTTCCAGTTTTCACCCTATTGATCACCGAAACATTGTTGAGTATTTGCCTCTTGTCGGTCAATATGAAGTCTAGCTCATTCCATGTGACACCATCGGGACTTAACCAGATCCATTTCCTTTGAGGCGGTTTTTGGAAGAAGGAGTTCATCAGAAAGAGTCCCTCCTTTTCCATGAAGTCGGCCTGCCTTTGGCCCTTGCAATTTCGCTTTCCTAAAACCAAATTTCCCCACTCTCGGCTCATAAACCATTCGACAGCTAATTTGGCTTTGAAGTCCTCCATGACAACATTGAAGTGTGTTTGGGAGGGATGTATGGCTTGACTTACGTCCTTATACATAACCTCCTCATCTGGGTGTACCGAGGTCAATGCGTAGACCTGTGTGACCTTCAGAGAGTAGCGCTTGGATACTCTGAGCTTGGATTTGCGTACCTTATACGCAACCCTGCTCGACACACTCCCGATGGATGTAATGTTGCCAATACGGGATTTGTGGACAATAAACTCGATACCACCCTGGGACTGCTGGTCAACTTTTCTGAAGTAGAACAAGTTGCCGGATTTCAGTCCTCCTCCTCTCTACGGACTTCCGACAGCCCCACGATATCCCAGTGCAACTTGTTCACCTCCTATTCCAGCTCGACGACCCTCTCGTCCGATCGCAGCGTGCGTGCGTTATACGTTGCCAGGGCCAGGGTCGGTCGGCGGTCGAATCGCACCCGGAGATTAGAACTCTTGGAGCCAGAGCTTACACGACGTCCATCAGCGCCTCGGTTGCTACTTTCACCGCCGAGCACTTGAGGATACTTTTCTGTGCTACACATACATTGGGGGGTTTTAGACCATTTCCCCGCCACTCTGGTCCAATGCGTATTGGCAGGTCGCCAGAACCTCATCGGTAGAAGCAAGGTATACCGCGTGCAGGTGAGGTTGGCTACTAAGCACCGTAGGTGTTGGGTGGCGCCCCTTACACGTCTAATTGCCACAATAATAATATTGTTTCTTTTTTATTTTAACAGATACCAATCTTTTACATCTAACTAAACTTTTCAATAATAATGTTATATAACTTAAGGTCCAAAGCATTGTCCTCCTCTTTATGTTTCTTTTCTGTACTTAACGAAGTTATTACTAAGATGATTTGAATTATGAAAACGATCTAGACAATTCGATTCGCTTCAATTTTGAATACTGACTTTTACACTAACACTGACGACCAGCTTCAACGACACACTTTTAGACCACGCAATAGATTGCTTCTGGCACGATCTCGGCTACATATACACAGCTCAAGTCTCCACTCGATGTCGGTGAGGATATTCAACGAACGCCCGCCCATTGTTAAAAACGAGGAAAAGTATTCACTGTTTCTAAATAAATTAAAATTACATCTTAGTAATAAATGCTATTACAATTTAAATGAATGCTTTGATGAGAAATAAAAATAATAATATTATAATAAATTTGAATAATAAATAAATATTAATTATAGTTTATAAAGTTATGCTATTGTAATCTAATTAAATTCAATCTTTCAAGTCATTTTCAAGTGACATAATTCTACTCATAATATGACGTATTTCTTTCTTATTACATGACATATTTTATTTTATTTTATATTATTTGTTTTATTTAATTTAAACTTCGGCCTACCTCTGTTGTTATTGTTATCCCTAATAAAGGGCTCATATGTGTAGCATTATTTTAAATTTAAGACATGTATACCATATGAGTGCAATAAATATATTGAGTATTGAGCATTTAGTATATTCGCGAAATAAATCGATTCAGTAAATCGTTAGATCGTATTCAATTGAATCGATCTTCATAAAAATCGAACCGTAATTTGCATTCCTATGTCGATTCCAGGTTCGGTCCTCGGCTGGTCAATGTAGAAAAAGTAACTTTTCTATTTATTGTATCGGGTCTGGGTGTTTGTGGTAACCTAGTTGTTTTCGATTTCCCAAACTTAAGTACCTTAGTTACCTACTTTGGGAATCCACTCGGCCACGGAGATCATCAATAGTCTTAACCTGGTCTGAAACTAGGCAATTTCCTGTACTGTGGGTATGATTGGAAGACTCAAACCAGAGTCAATTTAAAATTGAAAAATCATAATCACAGTACAAACCGCTGATCCACCAAGATGATAAATATAATGGTGCGTGCAAAGGGGCTTTCTAATAATACATTATAAAATCACTCTGGATCCATTTGTTCTGTACAAACATAGACAAAATCAGACGGACGTACGATCACTTTTGTATACTTATTTGTTATTATTGTTTTAGTTCCATTTAGTTATTATTATATATTATATTATTATAGATATTATTGTGATTATTTGATTATTATTTCTTATTATTTCTTAGTAGTTTTTGTATAATTTTAAGAGATATTTCCCTTTATCTTTGTTGATACTTAAATGTGGGTATTGATTTTTTTTTATGATAGCAAGTGACGGGACGAACAAGTCGTGCGCCTGGTGGTAAGCGACACGCCGGTCCATAATAGTTGCAGTGACACTCATAGCTTTAAATCGCAAAAATCTGAGGGGCACTGTCGCTGAGGCCATCACCCTGAGGCATAAGTTGACAAGTCCCATGTGCTGGTAATTTCTTGATTTCTCATTTTAGTGTAATTGTAATTATACAAGTAGTCCGTGAATTTCCCTCATACCCTCCGCACTAAGATAACTGCATCGCGGAAATTACACTCAAACTCACAAAGAAACAAAATACAAATATTTCTCCCGGCCCTGGAATCGAACCTGCCACGGAGGCAGTTACAATACAATGATTATTCGGAGACGATTTACATTTGTTCCTTGTATTTACATTGTAAATATCAGATTTTTTCTTGAACAAGTTCCCCTTCAACATAAATTACATTATCATAAGCGAACAGTGAAAGAATATTAATTTATTTTATACTTATCTCGCAAAGATCTCTGGGGTCCAGTTTCTAAATTGCCCCTAACAGCACGCTTCTACAAACATGTATTCTTTTGGTGTCGGTTGCATTTCCCCAAAGGGAAATACTGTATTGGTAACTGCAAGTTTCTACGTCTGACATTGTCTATTTTGAACGGTAATTTAATGATTTCTATTTTTTTATATCATTGATGATATAGGACATTTTCGAGACAGCGTGTTTATACAAATATATACACACATTAACGTTAACGTAAGTAACGTTTATATTTAATTATTTTTTTTACAACACCAACCCCAACCACACGCCACTCAACAATCCTGTATTAGTAGGAAATTGAAATAATTGAAATTGAAAAGATTACAGCCGACAATTTTTCTTGTCTATGATATTTAATTAAAAGTCTATTAATGAAATTTATTACATTGAATATCAGCGTAAAAATAAACGTGTTCATTTATTCAAAATCGTTCAGTATTTTCATGCAGGTTTCAGTTTATTGAACTTGACTTCTCTGTTTTTGTTTTTGTTTGCAAAATACATTTTATTAATCAAAGAGAATTCAGAATTGAACACGGTATTTGTTTCACTTGTTTACACGGTAATTAATTTTGGTTTCTTATCCAAGAATTGCGTTTATATTTAATGATACATTTTCTTCGTATTTATCAACTGCACGATTACACAATTTAAAGCCGCCTTCACCTTTCCATCATCAGAGAACCAGGATTGCAGCTCTATGTTGTAGATATTCCAAAGATTCGCAGGAAGCTTTACGCTTCCACATTTATATGGCGAACAGCTGTGGGGTAAACTTTCCTCCCTGTGTACTTATTCCCTGAACGCTATAACTTGAGCTTTTTCAAGGCGAGAGTGAATAGGAATTATTATTAAATTAAAGAGCTTCATTGTCAACGTCATCGTCGCTTTGGAGGTGGAGGTCAAATACGCACTTATTTTTTTTTATAAAAAGAAAATCAACATTCTTCATTCGAGTAACCCAGAAGTCATCCATCTACTCAATGTCACCACTGATCAAATAGAACGTGTTCTCGAATAAAGCCATGTCGATAATTTGGTCTTGGTTGACATTCATGTAATTACCATGTCGTGACCGTCGGCAGCGATGAAAGGTGATCTCTAGTCAATATTTAAACGTCTGTTCATATTATGTTTGACAATTTTTATATCATGTTCTTTTGTTTAATCATTATTGTTGGTTTTCGTTTCACCTTTTAACAGATGATAATGGTTCTTTATTTTTGGATCTTAATTGGTACAGGTTTAGTTTCCGGTATGAACCTTTGAGTAGTTTCGAATAACGTACTGAGTTTTGTTTATCAGAGCTTTTATTTTGAAGGTGAATGAAAACACTTTAAAGAAACATGTATAAAGAATGTATACAAAAACGTTAAAGACTCTGATAGGTGAAACGGAGTTCTCAATCCTACCTAACATGGTAAATTAAAAAGTTAAAACGGTTGAATAAAAGATACCCCTGTCTCAGTAATAGTCATATGTTTTTTACCTGTAATTGCACACACGTGGGACCTATCAATTTATGTGTCAGGGTGCCTGGCGCAGTGGCAATGTCCCTCAGATCTTTGCGATTTAAAGTTTTGAGTGATACTGCAACTGCTATCGACAGGTGTGTCGCTTAACACCAGGTGCATGACTTGTTCGTCCTGTTACGTGGTATCATAAGAAATCACCTAAGTGAAGTTAGTGGATTGTTACAGAAACCTATGTCATAACGTCACAGTCTGAGAATTATTTCAGAGACGTCTGGTACAAATAACCTTATAAGTTGCCCCACAAACTCAGGACAACCTGACTCGCCGCGTAAGAAGACTTAGCAATCAGAGACGAGCAAGTTGTTGTTCCACCTCACGATATTACATTCTCTTGTTTTCTTCTTGTAATTGCTTGCCACATGCCACAACGCCGTGAAAGGCTTTTCTTTGTCCTCCATCCAGTGGACAAAACTCTCATTAAAGGCTTTCACTTATATTCCACGACAGAACATGACAACTCTGGGCAACATTCTATCTTTTTGTAGATCTGAAGTGTACGTCCCGTAGTCATTTATTATAATAAAAAACTCTTCATCATCATTGTCTGCGTAATACTATTTTATTCCTGAACACCATTTTTCAATCACGAAAGTGTTCCTTCCATAAATACAACTCTTTCAACTTGTGCCGCAAGTAATTCAACGTTTATAACAGCGTTTCCTTTGAACGCCATCCTTTGTGAGGCCAATTGAATTAAACAAATAAACAGAATACACTTTGGGAACCACTAACAAAACCTTTCAAGTACCTTAAATGGGCCAACTGGACATAAAGAAAATAAATGGGGTTTTTGTTGCTTATTGTGGTTAGTTCAAATGGCGAAATGATGAAACTGCATTTCGTACCCTTGGTATAATAAATCTACACGTAATCTTACGTCTCAATAGCTTTTATCATATGAAAGCCATAAAAATAATACTAACTAACTTACTCCGCTGGCCCAGCGACCCAAAAAGTGTCTTGGCCTCCAAAACGAGATGATGCCGCTTTCTACGATCCTGTGCAGAGATGGGCAAGGGCAATTCGGGCGGATTTAAATCGGGTTAAAACTCATTAACTCCCAAAACCGAGGTATTATTAGGATAGTGTATTGCTGTCTGATCTATTGAATCAATTCGCTTAAAATTTGCATTGAAATTAATCGATATAAACAATCGTTAGATCGCACGACCTTGAATCGATTTTCATAAAAATAGAATCGTACTGTGCTTCCTTAACAGCGAGAATCTACAGGATGATAATTCCATACCTGGGACCGGTCTTCGTCCAGTAGGTCGACCCAGATAGGCTCTCTACACGTTCCGATCCTCTCCCATCCTTTCCAAATGGCCCAACCAGCGAAATAATACGAACTATATGAAAGAATTTATGTATATAGGAGAATTTAT